TATAATTAGCAATAATAAATTACATTATAATTAAAATAATATAAACAAAATTCATATAACTAATGCTAATATTATAATAAATTATAATATAATTTTTATATAATGAAATATAATAAATTATAATAGAATAGAATAAATTATAATATAATATAATAAATTATAATAAAAATGTAATGTAATATAATAGAATATAATAGTATATAATTGGGTTTCCTCCATGTGCTCCGGTTTCCCCCACAGTCCAAACACATGCAATTGGCTGTAGTGTATGCGTGGGAATGAGAGTGTGTGGGTGTTTTCCAGTACTGGGTTGCAGCTGAAATGCATCCGCTGCATAAAACATATGCTGGATAAGTTGGTGGTTCATTCCGCTGTGGTGACCCCAGATTAATAAAGGGACTAAGCCGAAAAGAAAATGAATGAAAATAATTAGTAAATTTTTTTCTCATTAAATAAAATAATTTAAATATAGAAAAAATGTAGCAATGTGATGAGGAACAAATATAAAAAGTTCTTATCAGAAAAGTTTGATAAGCATACAATATGATATATTGTGATATAATAATATCTCTCTCCACCCTCTGCTTTTTCCAATCCAGATTCCCCAACACAATTAAAATTGCAGCTTCACCCGCTGCCAAACACAAAAGCAAAATCAATGAGCTCACAGGAGAGCTGTTTTAAATTCTGCACGCTGAATAAGGATTTTTTTTTTTTCACATCTTTAATTCAGGAGTGACTTTGTCAGTAAATTGGGCTCTTACTGTTAACAGGAGCGAGGTGTGAAATGGCGGATAAAAACACCACATCAACATTTTAACCGTACACTCTGTCATTTTCACCTTCTCATAAACATTGAGGTAAAGTCAGAATTACTACCCCCCCTGTATATTTTTGCCCCTTTTATGTTTAACGGTGAGATTTCGTCAACACATTTCTAAACAATATTAGTTCATTCAATCATTTTTCTTCAGCTTAGTCCCTTTATTCATCAGAGGTCGCCAGAGCGGAATGAACCGCCAACTATTCCAGCATATGTTTTACACAGAGGATGCCCTACCAGCTGCAACCCAGTACTGGGAAACACCCAAACACACTCATTCACACACATACGGCCAATTTAGTTTAAATCACCTACTATGTGTTTGGACTGTGGGGAAAACCGGCGCACCCAAACCTACACCAACACGGGGAGAACATGCAAACTCCACACATAAATGCCAACTGACCCAGCCGGCACTCAAACCAGGGACCTTTCTGCAACCCACTGCACCGCCCTTGGTACAATTTGACAAATGTGACAGATGTTATGCATCACAGTGTATTTCAGTCATTCTTCATGAGCCCGTTACAAAATTACTGGATTAATTATTTTACAATTAAGCTTAAGGTGTTGCAGGTAAATATAAACCAGGAATGGGGAAAACTCGATCCTGGAGGGCCGGTGTCCTGCATAGTTTAGCTTCAACTCTAATCAAAAATACCTTTTGAACTTGTGGGGGAAACCAGAGCACCGGGAGGAAACCCATGCCAATGTGGGGAGAACAAGCAAACTCCACACAGAAATGCCAACTGACCGAGCTGAGGTTCGAACCAGGGACCTTCTTGCTGTGAGGTGACAGTGTTAACCACTGAGCCATCATGCTGCCTCTAACAGGGACATTGCAAATTAACAAAACCTTTCTGTTAATGGAATATAAGGGATTTGTTTTAGGATATTTAGGGTAGGTTATTGGATTACAATGGTCTAAAAGTTTTCCACTTATATAATATATTTTATTATAGTGTTCAAAAGTAGATGACAGAATCTGTAGAACTTCTTTTGGCCTCAATAGTATCTGGATGCAGCCTTTATGATGCAAGCTGAGATTGCATCACGCAGCGATGCAATGTCAGACACAATGCACTCAATGGAGTGAGTGACATCACTGTGATGGGTGGGGTTAATGGTGGGGTTAGATGAGCGCATTAAAAAGCATTGGATGCAGCTCAGATTGCACTTGTGACAAGAAATATATAATGTAACTTGGTCACACTTTACAATAAGGTTTATTAGTTAATGTTACTTAATGCATTTACTAACATGAACAAACAATGAACAATACATCTACTACAGTATTTATTCATCTTAGTTAACATTAGTTAATGAAAATACAGTTGTTCATTGTGAGTTCATGTTAACTCATGGTGCATTAACTATTGGTAATAAGCATGAGTTTAAATGTTAATAATGCATTAGTAAATGTTCATTTATGATTAATAAATGCTGTACAAGTGTTGGTCATGATAAGCTCATGTTAGTAAATGCATTAAGTAATGAACCTTATTGTAAAGTGGTACCATGCAATTAGAGCATATTTAAATAAATTGTTCCTGACTTGCATATACAAGAATTTTACAAAGCATGTAATACAAAAAAAAAAAAGAGTATAAATGAGTAACCCCCTTGTGGATCTCTCTTTAAAATTAATATTTTATATAGGACGCTTTATTTGCACAT